CGTTACCTGCCCGACGACGACAAAAACAACTTAGAGCCCGGTTCCCCCCGGAAAGGGGAAGGAGTGCCCCCTCGGTCGGATTACAAAACGAACCGAGCGGGACGCGTGTCGCCAGCGCCGGTCGCAGCTGTCGCACACCCGTTACCGACGGGTAACGGTCTCTCCCGTTCGGGATTAGCGAAAAAGACCCTTTCGAACGCCGATAAAACGTCTCCTCCGAGGGGAAATGGTCGCGAGACCAACCGGGCTATTAAGACGGGGGAGCAATTTCCAACGGGGTCGTAGGTCGGAGGCGCCGTCGGGGGACGACCGGGGAAGCCAAGACGACGGAAAAAACTACGCGACGATTAATTTACTCTCCGGAGTCCGTCCCCGTTTCTTCCCAATGCCGGTCCACCCCCGACCGGGGAGCGCGTTAAGTAGTGGGCCTTTACGGCCCGCCTTCGGTAATCCGGCCTTACGGAACAGGATCGGGGTCGGACGAACGTGGGAACGACTCACCTTCCGTAAACGGTGGGGTTTTTGACCCGCCTGTAATGTAAACTGTGGGGAGGAGGACGCTGCACCTCTCGATAAGGCCGGTTTCCGGGAAGCGCGGGCTCCATTAAAATGCAAATCCGGACGGACGCGAGTGGACCCGAGTCGGAATCGTTTCCCACGGCGGATGAATCAGCTGGCCGGGGGCAAGGTGAATCACGACCCGTGCCTCCAGGTGACGAAACCGGCGCGTGGCGGGGAGCCGGAGTGCTGGAGCGCGTAACCGGTCGACAGGTTAAACGGGTGATTATCCGGCGATTACCTGGACGGACCACCTCCCGCGGCTGCCTCTCTCACCTGGCACGCGACCGGTAGCTCCACAGGTGGGCTGCCGCTCGTGCCACGGAACGGGGGAGAGGGACGGAAACCGCGCAACCGGCCCGACTTTATTTGCGGGAGAGAGAGTCGTCGCTTGCAAGCGCGCGCCAAGAATGGAAAGGCGCCGCGCCCGCACGTCTTTTTCCTTAATTTTCTGCCATTTCGTTGGCACGTGCGCGGTTTTACCCGTCGGTTACGGGACGATCCGGTAACCACCCCGGAAATTTCGCATCCAACGCTCTCGTCTCGTTAATCTGCCACCGGGGCCGGAACCCGCGATTTTAGACGAAGAGGAGGATGGCCGACGGAATCCGACAATCGACAAAAAAGTCTCCCCTATTCCCCGGCTCGTGGCCCGCTGCCGTTATACGTCCCCCCGGATGCAAATTGTTACGTCGACGGATTAGACAAAGCGACTATCGATTAGCGGGGGGGACGGGAGGAGGAAGGTGAGAGCCGCCACTGGGAGACGGGTCAACACCGTCGGGCGTCAGCTGCGAACTATCAATCTTACGGATTTTCATTACGGGCCGCCGACGTAAACGCGTCGGCGGCGTCTACCCCGGGCGGCCCACCCCCGTCTCCCGGTCGGAAGTCGGCAGTCGTCTTCGTCGTCGTCGTCTTCCTCCTCTCCCCCTTCGTCGACCCGGTCCGAGCCGAGCCGGACTTTAAAGTTATAACTTTCAATAAAGCTTAAACGGCTTTCCGCCCCGCTCGCCTAAAAGCCTCGTAAATTTCCCCTCTCCGGCCGGCGCCATTTTAATAATGCGGGGGAGAAGGAAGAGAAAGAAAGCCTCCGAGCGGATCGATGACGAGGCCGGGAGGAGGAGGAGGGTCGGGCCCGACGGGCCGAGCGCCGGAATTCCTCCACCGGGAATCGTCGCCGGCCGGAAAAACGGGGGGGAGCCCGCACCTGTTGACGGGGGAGGCGCTAACCTGTCGACCGGGTAATTTCCGGCGCCAGATTTTTCCGGGGGTCCCCCGGAGGTGTCACTCCGAGAGCGCTCGTCATCAATCAGTCGGTCTCGGCTCCGGCCCGGGCTAACTATCCGGTTAATCCGCGGGCGAGCGGGAAGGGTCCGGGACAAGCGCGAGGTTAACTGGCTGCCGGGAGCGGAGACACTCGGGAGACCAGGTACGGAGCGGGGACAATCAATCAAATCTCGCCTCCCGACACTTAAAGCGCCGGGCTGGGTCGAGTGTTCCTCGATTCGGAGCATTAATCGACGATCGATAGGCGGGGGCGGAGGGGGGCCCCGTCCGAACTCCGGCCCCCAACCGTCTCCTCTCCGGACCGGCGATTGGCGGGTGGAGCGGAGGTAGACGAGGGGCGGAAGGAACAATTAACGTCGGGGGACCGGTGGCGGGGGACGGCGTCTTTCCGTCCCCCCAGAAATTAAGAGGGGATGGGAGAATCGATAGGCCGGCCGGAGCGAATTACCCCGGGGAATCCGGAGTCGCAATTAAAACTCTCTGTGTTTCGGCGGTGGATTCCTCCGCCTTCCGTTTATCGTCGTCGGGACGAACGGCGCCTTCTTTCTCTCCTTTCTCGCGCGTGCAGGATACACTCCGGCCACCCTCGGTCCGTAACTTCCGGCCGAGGATCGCGCCGCGATTCTTTACTTCGGCGTTGGCCTCCCGGAGGAAGGCAGCGGTAAAAGAAACGCCGCAGACTATTTCCGGTAGACTCTGGGAGGGAGCCAAAGGGCCCGGGGCCCCACGCCGGGACGGGGGCGACCGGGGAGAGGACCGAGAGATAGAGCGACGGAAGAATGTCTCTATCAATCACCGGTGGCGCTCCACCCACCGAGCGGGGGACGGAGCCGAGAGAGAGAGAGAGGATGCTGGGTCAGCACCGACTCCGGATAAATATAGAGATCGGTGCCAGTAGGTCTGACGGTGGGTCTCACCTGTGTCGTTGCTAAATTTCCCGGCACCGGGATCGGGTTTCGTTCGCCGCGTCGTTTTCTACGTAATCCTCTTAAGCGTTTATTTCGTTAGCGGCCGCGCGCCCGAGGGACTTTCTCGCGGTTGATACCCGACGTTGGCTTTAATTTTTCATCGCTCCGTCGCGCGACCGGGTTTCTCGCCTGGCCGAATCCTTCCGTTTTTATTTATTTATTTATTTATTTTTCCGGAAAACGACAGAGCCAGAGGGGCGACAATTAGGCTAACGGGGCTATTTATTTACGCTCGGTCGGGAGGTTAACCCAGTTCTGGAAAGAAAGGCGTTCCACTTGGCCATCGTCTCCCGAGATAAAAGCGGAGAAGAGGGTCGCGGCAAGCCCGCGGGCCTCGGCTATTTACTAGATTCTAACGTTAACCATCGAACCATCTTCGGGACTTAAACAAACGAGGGCCCGAGAAGCCCGAAGGAAAGAAAAGGGGGGAAAGCGTCGCCCGTACGCCGCGAGAGAGCGAAGCGACCAAGCCAATTGTTTTTTTAAAGTCGTGCTCCAGAATCTGCGACAAGCAAATCGTCTCGTCCTCTTTTGTTTCTACTTTTTAAATATCGTTTCTAAGGGGTTATAATTCCAGAAACACTCGTAAACGTGCCTTATTCGACAATTACCCCAACCTTTCTCGTAGCCGGAGAGAGAGAGAGAGAGAGAGCGAGAACGTGGCTTATAAGTGTAAGTTTAAGACGTCGGCGTGTCCTATTTACCTTCGCCAGTTTACATTTTCGTTTCTCTTATTTAGATAAAATGCCGGCGATGTAAAAAAATATGTTTACGCCGGGGAGATATTTCCCTTCGGTCGAGAGGAGTACCTAGATCTACGACGCGATGAACTGGCGAGTTATCGCCGGGGTTCATCGCCGACAGACGAATATACACACCTATATAACGAGTGACGAGTTACCATCGCGNGCGGGATCTTCCTACGAGGAAATCTCATCCGTATAGGAAGATGGGAGGCTTTTAACATTACGGGACGTAGAATTTCAATAGGCGCGTGTCTCTTTTCTAATTTCTCCACCGGTCGGGGGTGGTTTAGCGTAGCTTACATCCTTGTTTTCCATTCGACTTATGTCCCGTAGAATACAAAGATAAAGAAGACCCGGTCCGTAGGAAAGAATGCAAACGGGGTAACAAATACAGTACATGCCCCCGCCAGGCCAGAAAAATAAACGGTACAATAATGGGATTTATCAAAAATTAGGGCCTATATGAAATCGATCCCGCCGGCACCTGGACTTAAGTTATTACAAGTCGACCCCCCTATAACACTGTAGATAATTCCGTGTTATATGAATGCCATGTTGTACGAGTCGCTTAGATTTTACAAATACGTGTGCCTGACTATGAACGGCTCACGTATTTGTAAAATCTAAGCGACTCGTACAACATGGAATTCATATAAAACGGAATTATCTACAGTGTTATAGGGGGGTCGACTTGTAATAACTTAAGTCCAGGTGCCGGCGGGATCGATTTCATATAGGCCCTAATTTTTGATAAATCCCATTATTGTACCGTTTATTTTTCTGGCCTGGCGGGGGCATCTACTGTATTTGTTACGCCGTTTGCACTCTTTCCTACGGACCGGGTCTTCTTTATCTTTGTATTCTACGGGACATAAGTCGAATGGAAAACAAGGATGTAAACTACGCTAAACCACCCCCGACCGGTGGAGAAATTAGAAAAGAGACACGCGCCTATTGAAATTCTACGTCCCGTAATGTTAAAAGCCTCCCATCTTCCTATACGGATGAGATTTCCTCGTAGGAAGATCCCGCTTTGTAAATTATAGGTAGGAGTAGGCCCCGTCTAACGGCGAAAATTACACCACAATACGGATCCTTAAACAATAATAACTGGTTATAATAACTTAAATCTAACCCCCATCCCGGGCATTTAGTCGGTTACTGGTTATTTAGGAATAGGAATAAATTTATGCCAGCGAATCTATACGCCGGTGTATTGTACTGTACGGTACGTTTGTATATTAAGAGATACTTAGGCAAACACGGACTAACCGCCGATGCAGATAACGTAATTACGTCTATACAACACCGGAACAATACACCAAGCCATTGTATTGCGGTCAAGAATTATTAACTTATTAAGGATTTCGGGATGGTTTTCGGCCTGGTCCTTTAGATCAAATTTTTGTCCGTGGCTAGAAATCGAACACCTCCTTACCGGTGGTATATTTAATAATACGGCGGTCTCTCCCGTGTTACGTCATTAATGTAGACAAGACTGGGTAATTGTGTAGGTGACGATGCCACAGGCGCGGCCTAAACTAGGCGGCTCTCCCCGACACAAACTTTGCAAACACTAACGTGTGTGTGTGTGTGTGTGTGTCAAACGCCCTTTATTACAAATCCTATTATTTAATATATCGTATAGGAGCCCGAGTTTATTCATAGTCGGTAGAGATGTATTAGAACTTCTCCTATAAATTTAATGGAGCGAAAGTCTTTCTTAAACTCGACAACCTATTTCGTAGCCTATATTTATTTTCGGCACTCGACGGTAGCCAATGTATCGCACCATTTGGAAAGAAGGAATTTCGCGTGATTTTCTTTTTAAAAGCGATTATTGTTAAAGGGCTATTATACCGAAACAAGTGAAAACACACAAAACGCTTCGGGTTTAATTGGCCGAAGTGGGTAAAGTTTGCCGGACCAACCGGAATATTTTTATATTTTGTGGCACAAATTTCGCTAACGAAACATTACAAACCGTAATCGAGTGAAGAAAATATAAAAAATGGAGTAAACCCCGTCAGTTCCCTCTATACTTTGACCCCATCTCTTACGAAAACAGGCCACCCGGCCTAAATTGATAAAACATTACCAGGCGGTTGTAGTGGTTCCCCTTCACTCCGAGTCCCCCTCTTCGGGAACTACCCCAAATTCGAGTGCTTCTATACACGCGCATAAACAAACAATAGCTCATAGTAGGATACCGCAGGAGTTGTTTTTGCGCCCGTGCGTTATAAGTTTATAAATGGGAGATCCCAACGAAATTTCCACCCCTGTAGTGTTAATTTACACCGTATTTAGTGTTCGAATCGACCGAGGAAATAGAAAATATCGTAATAAAGTGTGGGGGAGAAAGACACTTAGCCTCGATTAAAGGAGGGTCTGAAGTCGTAATTACTTAGAACGAAGGACGTCGGAAACTAAACCTTAAAAAAATAATAGTAATAAAGTAATAAAAAGCACTATGACAATCGTGGCGCGGAAACATTCGATAGTTTAAAAGGGAGCATTAAAAATTTGCCCCCCTTTTTTTTAACGTTAATTTTACTCACGAATATTCTGTTACTCGGTGTTAATGGCATTAAACTGGAAACTCGACTCGTCTCGTCCCACATTTCCTTATATTTGCATTTGTATATTTGTACGGGGAGACCCCGAAATGAGGCTACTTCTGTTAATTAGTGTAAGGTCGACGATGAAGTGATTGTTTTGACTACTAAAAACTGGCAGGGACGATGCGCCTTTCTTACGTTCGGGAGCGATTATACGCGTCGAGCGTGCAGAAAACACTACTTTAGACCCCACGTTAGTGTTTAGCCAACGCGGTTGTAGTTAAATTTTCGTCCCGTTCGGTCCGTTCCGTTGATGTCATGGATAATCGAGATCCGGGAGGGGGGATGGTAATTTAGGAACGGGACGTCGACCGAGCCGAAATGGGCGCGTCGCGTCGCTCTCGCCGGCGCGGCGGGCGAGACCAAAATAACCATCTCGAGGGTACGTCCGAAAATCTCCGGGCAACGACACTCGACACTTCGGCCGCGGCGCCTTACTCGAACGTAGGAAGGCGTTTCGATCGGCCCGGTTCCACCCCTTCCCTTCCACTTTCCGCCTTGGCCCGCGTGCCGACCACTTCCGAAAAAAATTACCGGAAGCGGCCGAGTTCGAAAGGTTCAAATAGCGGGATACAAATAATTAACCGGGACGAAGAAGAGTCGACCCTCGAATTTGTCACACTCTTAACGAGGTAACTGCGTAATTAAAGGAAGGAAGCGTAATAAACGGGGTTCTGGCAGCCGAGAGTTAAGAAAGTCCGGAGACCGGACGACTTTCGGCCCCTTTTTTCGGGGTGTTTCCGACAGTTCGGAAGTAATTTGGCGCATAACGGGTAAAATAAACGTCCCCTTCGGTGGGGGGAACTTAACTTTGGACAGGGAGGAAATTATCTTTGGCGTTTTCGGTTTCGTCGACGGAAAGGGAATTTTTCCGAAGGGATATTAAAGGTCGTCTCGGTTTTCGGGAGGCGTCTCGGGGGACGGAAGGTGCCCGGTCCGAAGAAACGAGAGGGGGGATGGTCGCGGAGGCGCCGGATTGGAAGGAAGAGGAGGCAAAGGGCCGCGGATCCGACGTAATAATCGCTTCCTCATTGCCGGGCAGGAAACGAGAAAAGACGAGGTAAGAGGCGGGGCGGGAGGAGCGGGGGGTAGGAGGAAGGTCTCGTTACCGCGTCACCCGAACGGGAGCCCGCAATTTCCTGTCGCGCCGGGATTTGTTTTCCTTTCATTTCCTGTTAATTATAAGGTCCCCGGCAGTTCTCCGTCGAGATAGCGACGGGTTTTCTCGGTGGCCGTCCAGATGGTTCTCGTCGACCCCCCCCTTCGCCTGGCAGTCGACTGGGCCTGGCCACGGGCCGGACCGGACCGGAAACGGCCCGGGGTCTCGGGTTACGGCCCGGTATCGGCCGAGGAGGAGGGCGACGACGGGAGAAACCCGGATGCGCCCTCTCCCGTCGGTCGTCGGGCTGCGCGCTCTTTCCCACGGCCCACCGGGCGTGGGCGTAGCAAACGAGGACCAGCTGCGACGCGGCGGGACGCACGATCGACGAAAGACGACGTCGTCCGTTCCAGAGACGACTTTCTCGACACCGGGGACCGCGCGAACGGCCGTTTAATTAGGGACGGCTTTAATCGCCGCGGACGAAGGGGGACCCGCCACCTGGACGAGCATCTGTCCCCGTCCTTTATTGTACGATTGAATAAGTGCTCGAAAAACCGGGTTTCATTCTTCGCGGCCCCGGGTATTGTTCCCCCGCCACCTGGCACGTGGCGGGACGCGGGCGCAGGTAACAAAAAATATAATAAAAAACCCCAAAAAAGACCGCCGGCCCGCCGAGAGTGGCGTCGGCCCGATAGAGAGAGCGCTACAGAAGCGAGAAAGGAGCGACCAGGGTTGCAATGGCTATCAATTTCGGGGGCGCTTACCCCGACGATCCGAGAGCGAAACGTCTTTGGCATCGGAGAGGAACGAAATTTGGTAAACGAAGGACGAATTTCACCGTTTTCTTTCGCGTGTAACGCGCGTAACACGGGCTTCGTGGGGCGCGGACGAAGCCGAATCTCGCTTTCTTAATTGCGAGGAGGGGGAGAGCGGAGAAGTGTGCACTTTTGCCAAGATCGCTTTCCCGAAACGAAGAAGAGCCGGAACGGAGATAATCGTCGGAGGTGCAACCAGCCAACTGCCGTGGGACGGAGAGCGCAGCCGACCCGATCGACGTCTCCGGAAAAGGGCCCGGGGCCCGAGGCGTAAGAGGCCCGGCGCCGGTTTATTAGCGGCCCGGAGGGGGCGTCTTAACCGCCGTCGGCCGGTTATCCGGGCCGATTCCGTCTCGGTCGATCGATGCCACCCGCCAATAAGGTAACGAGAAGCTAAGCCGGCCAGTAATTGTTCGATAACGGGGCGAAAAAGGGTTAGGGAGAAGAAGAAGCGCGCGCCGTAAGAAAAACAAATTACCTTAAGTAGCCGGCTCATAAAGTAGAATTATGGTTTCTGGACCGGTCGTTTCTCTATTAGGGAATCGATTGCCCGATCCTAGCGCCGACGGCCGCCTCCTTCGCCGACACACCTCGAAAAAAGTAGCGACACACCTTCGGCCCCGTCGGAAACTTCGGGCCCGGGCCTCCTCCCCGCCTCCGTCTCCTCCCGCCGCGGTCGAAAGGACTCGATTATTTATAGCCGGGGGTCGAGACCGCCTCGTACTTCGGTTTCGGTTGACAGAAAACAGAACGCGACCGCCAACGTGTCGCCGACCGGCGCGCCGACACCACGCGCCGGTCGGCCCGCCGCTTTCTTTCCGGCGGGTTCCGACCCGTTTCGGACTCGAACGGAACGTCCGTAAATCGCCGGCGTCCGGCAAGAGGAAGAAGAAGGCCGAGAGACGGACAGATGTTGGGGTCGAGGTTCGAAGTTCTCTCGGCGCGCGCGACGCGCGTCGCTCGAGGAAGAAACCGAGCAGAGGAGACGCCGGATCGACTGGCGAGCGCGATAACGCCGCTAAATATACGCGTCGGCGATAGGAAAGGCGGCGCCGCCTTAATTCGGTCGCGCTATTTCGGGCCCACCCTACCGAAAAACCGGGCCGCGGGCCGGGGACCCGAACCCAACGCGTCCCTCGGACCGGGAACCGCGACCAATCGAAATTCCCGCCTCGGCCGGCGTAAAAATTCCCGTTTCGCTTCCGCCGGGCCAGAGATCGGCAGAGACGGGCCCCGCGCGGCCCGCCCAGGCGGGTTAAACTCCCGTCTCCTCTTTAAACGCCCGTAAATCACCCCGAGCCCGAGCCCAGCGGAGGCTGTCATCCCTCCCGGCCCGAACGATTCTCTCCCTCCTCCTCCGGAGACCTTCCTCTACCACCGACGTCGGGGTTAAACCGGATGGCGGGAGACGAGTGTAACGTCGTCGTCGTCGTCGTCCCCTCCTTCGACCATGGCAGAAATTTCGTCCGTTCCCGCGGGGTGGAGAAGGGATCGGCGACGGCGGAGGCCCCGGATAAAAGGACCTGAGTGGACGTCGTCGTCCGGCCGGGCCGGCCGATTACGCGTCGCTCGCCGGCGTGCCGGGTCCCCGGGATCCGGAAAGGGCGGGAGAGAGGCCCTTGGGCCCGAACGAGATAGAAAAGGTGCGAATACTTACGATGGTGGTCGTCGGACGAGGAGTCTGGCCTATCCCTAACCCAATCCGTGGAAGAGTTGGCGGTGTGTCTGTGCCAGTGCGAGACTGACGCGCCTGCGCCCTGCTCTTCCCGGCTCCCATGGCCGTCCTCACGTGCTCCGAGTCTTTCCGGAGCCCGAGTGGCCGAGAAGGAGGGCGAAGCTTCCGGAGGGAGCCCGTCCGGCCGGGGCCCTGCTCCTCCGTCTCCGTCCGCCCGCTTCTCCCTCCGTAGTCGGGCCCGCGGGGCCGCGCGGGCGGAGTCCTCCGACTTACCGTTTTTCCTCCGAGGATTTGCTTGTTTTCTTCTGGTGCACCTGGGACCTGGCTCTGCCATGATTTCATTTCTCTGCGAGAGAGGTGGAGGCGGCCGTCGGGGTTCGGCGACAGAGTGGGGCCCGAGGAGAGGCCCGCTGCGTGGATCGGCAAAGGGTTGGCCCCTCTGAGGGATGGCTGCGTGGAGGTGACCGGGTGCCAACTGATGCGGCGGCGATTCCCACACCCATCGGACTAAAATTGAAAGAGGGAAGTCGCCCGATCGATGCGCCGGCGCCCTCCCCATTGGCTGCCCGCCGCCCGTTCCCATTGGTCCTTCACTTTGCACCTATCGGGTGGCCCCGCCTCTCTGACTCACCCGACGCTCCGACGGCCTCTTTTTATTCGCGATTCGAGGTGTTTCGTCCATTAAACCCATTTTCCCGTCCCGATTATCCTCCCGTCTCTCCTTCCTTCCTCCCCCGTCCCGTTTTAATCCCGTCCGTGTCTCCCTTCCTTCTCCGCGCTCTTTTCCTCCCTTACGGTAAAAGTGCGCGACGCCGAAGAAATTCCCGCCTCGACCGCCGTTCGAACCCGCATCCGAAAATGACGTTTTCCACCCCTTTTTTACCGTCCATCCGCTTCCGCCTATTTTGATCCAATGGTGGGCCTCTCCCGTTCGACTGCGGACCGGTCGTCAGCGCTCTCTAGCGATTGCCGTTAAGCCTAACGTGGAGGCTGCAACTGGTCGTCCGTCCGTCTCGTCTGGAAAAATATCCTGCCAGGTAATATCTGTTTGCTTCGTTCCGTTCGCGAATACTTCCTCGCTTGTCTCCGACCCGCTTCTCTACGGATAATTCCGCTACCCTCTCGCCCGTCTCCAACCGGATTAAATTAGCATCTACTTCTCCCATTCCGTAATTAATTTAATTCTCTCCGAGCGAGACACCCGCACGTAATGGAGTCGAGCTACCGAAAAGGTAAATTTCCCCCATTTCGGCTCTCGATTATTGCAAAATGTAAACGTATTTTTTTAATCTTCGTTATCGCCACGTCCTTCGTTCTGTAAACTTGCGTAATTCCGAAGGATAAACGTTGGCAATTTACGTCTACCTCCCCCACCCCCCCGGTTATTGTAAATCCTTTCCCTCGGTTTAAGAATGCTTCGTTATAACGTTACGCACGCATCTGGCGATATATGGCGCTGGCAATCGAGATAATATTTTTACGCGGGGCAACTGCGATAAACTTTTCCTTGCACCGCTCGAACGACCCCGATATTAGTCGTCTGGAAAATACGTTTTATTAGTTTATGGGAGAGATCCATAAACATCGTGACACGAATTTACTTGCGAGTGTTAATGGACCTTCTATAAGTTCGTCCCCATCTGTTTTCTGTTACTTCCAATTAGTTTCTTGAAAAAAGTTTAAAAGATAGCCAACAAGATACCTCTTCTCTTCCTCCCCNCGGCCGGAAAAACGGGGGGGAGCCCGCACCTGTTGACGGGGGAGGCGCTAACCTGTCGACCGGGTAATTTCCGGCGCCAGATTTTTCCGGGGGTCCCCCGGAGGTGTCACTCCGAGAGCGCTCGTCATCAATCAGTCGGTCTCGGCTCCGGCCCGGGCTAACTATCCGGTTAATCCGCGGGCGAGCGGGAAGGGTCCGGGACAAGCGCGAGGTTAACTGGCTGCCGGGAGCGGAGACACTCGGGAGACCAGGTACGGAGCGGGGACAATCAATCAAATCTCGCCTCCCGACACTTAAAGCGCCGGGCTGGGTCGAGTGTTCCTCGATTCGGAGCATTAATCGACGATCGATAGGCGGGGGCGGAGGGGGGCCCCGTCCGAACTCCGGCCCCCAACCGTCTCCTCTCCGGACCGGCGATTGGCGGGTGGAGCGGAGGTAGACGAGGGGCGGAAGGAACAATTAACGTCGGGGGACCGGTGGCGGGGGACGGCGTCTTTCCGTCCCCCCAGAAATTAAGAGGGGATGGGAGAATCGATAGGACGGCCGGAGCGAATTACCCCGGGGAATCCGGAGTCGCAATTAAAACTCTCTGTGTTTCGGCG